ATAAGCTTCATTTGAAATTTGAATTGTGCTACTGTATCCTAAAGCCACCCCCCCCCCCTAGGGGCACTCTCATGGAAACCTTGGTTTTAAGTCGTGTATCACACTTTTCTCTCTCCTTGCAACAATCTGCGAATGAAATTTGGCAATAAGTCTTATCCACTGTAATGTATTGAGTACCATGGACGAATTCCCAAAAGCCTCCACAATTAACAAGACCGCTATATTGTGATCCTTTTAAGTAATTAGTTAGACCAACAACATCCATTTTATAATTCGCTGCGGGAAGTTAAATACGCTTTATCACATTAGCTTGTGGCTGATTTACCAGACTTCCCATTTGGGAAACCCTCCTGTCTGGTTTCCATTATTTTACTATCAGTCACATGCGTCTATCATATGCACAAACTAAATTAGTCCCAAGTATTGATCTATTTCATCCTTATAAGGAAACGGCTGGAGAGGGAAATTGGCCGAGTTTAAAGTTCGTTGGTAAAGTGGCGCAAACTTTCGAGAACTATATTTACTCTTAGAGTTTAAGACATAGTTGTAATTTGATTATTTCCATTTTCTAACCTTACAGTAATAATTTCAATTAAAATAATGTGATCAGAGACTACTCATTGAGATGACAATGCTTAACGTTAGATCAATGCTATGGAATTAAAACGTTAGATTATAACCGTAATTCTGTCCGAATTTGTTATGCTATTTGGAAAATGGATGAATCAACGGCAGTTGTGAAATGAACCAATTGAATACTAGCCACCTCTCAAGGTCATACTGTTGTGAGTACACATAGATCGGCATATCAGTCCGGTTACACCAACCTTGAGTTTGAATTACACTAACTCGGAAAGAAAATGATGCGATTGAAAATTTATTCATATATTCTTTGATATAAAATTTTATAAGCCCCTGCATAAATTATTTTGGTCAATAGTATTTTCGTCAGAATGACAATAAGTGTTATTAAATGTAATAGCTGGAGTCTTAGGGGTGACATGTGTGCAAAGAAATTAACCACAACCCGATAAAAAAGTTACTTTGTGGCGCTCCAACAAATGAGACCAAATATCCACTTGCTTGAATAATAATCCTTCTACATCGTCCTCTGAATGAGAAGATCCTCTATCAGTTCAATGATTCATAATTAATGAGAGTGAACAATGATGAAATGAGCAGTCTGGAGGGGGGGGGGGGCGAGGGAAGGCGCCCGCACTTTGCATGACAATCTGAATTGTCTGGACCAGACAAAGTGGAGTACAATGAGGTGGCTGGCCTACTTCGCGTTCTTTGTTCACTGACGTGCGCTAGCTGTTTGAGCATAAGTTTTATTTAGTTATTTCAAATGGCTGGCGTTTTGATGGTTATCATTAGCCCTTCAGCTGATTTCGAGCTTCACTGAGAGGAGGAGGAACATCAAAGTGACAAAAAGTCGAGAGGGGAGACAGAAGAATGATTCACAGATGTAAAAGAGACAGATAGACATAAAGGCAGAGAAAAAGTAAGATGGGTACTGTGGCAGTTGTCGAATATGACATACAATGGGGTTTGAAGATAAGTCTATCGGACATCCCGTTTGAGCAGAAGTATATGTCAATAGGAGTGTACGCTACTATTTGCCACTTTCTTAAGAGAAGGTACTTATTTTATGAGAAAAACCTCCACTTCGAGCACAAAGAGACGTTCTTAAGCGACGATGAGTCCTGCTGCTATTTACAAATTGATAAGGCCTGATCAGCTTACTTAAGTTTGCATATACTAACTAAACGTCCTTGAGCTACCTATAAGGCATTAGCACAAGATCATAAACATGTGCAGTCGCAGATCACGCTTTCTTCTACCACCTTACGAATTGAGGCTATTTTCTGAATTACGTGACCATAAAGCTTATGAAAACTGTCCAGCTTTATTTGCAACTCAAGGTAGATCCAAATGAGCTCAATCTCAATCCAAAAGTTCTGATTGCTAAAGGAAGATAGATCACGCCAGTTTGCTGGAAGCATTCTTCATGTTTTGGCAAAATCTGATTCCATTCCCTTCTTCTTTAAATGATTGGTGGAATTACCTTCACCTCATTAAATTCTTTTCTTATACTCCACTTCCTCTTCGCTATATTTCACATAGGAGGCACGAATTCGGATCACAGTTGCCCGAACAAGGTTGACGTACACTCAACCAAGACTGGACATTCATGAGACGATAGACTCATTGCAGCCAATCATTTAATTCCTCACAGGTACCTTCCTTTAGACAAAGTTAATCTGTGTGTAACCGTGATGAATTTGAGTAACACCTTCACCATACTTGCTCCCATAATTCAGTTCATCTACCGAAAAGGAGATGCAGTCCCATCAAAACTGAGTCATTGAGTTCCCCGAATGCGGATTGTGCTGCAAAATGGCAGACGACCTTCATTACTCCGAAAACCATGTGATTTCAAATTAATGAATATTTGCAATTAACTAAACTATTCCTAAGCCTATACAAGTGAGCGGAAATCAGATGACATATTTAACAACTCTGTAAGTTATGACACTTAAATTGGTAATAGAAGGCATATTATTGATCTCTCTTAGGACTAATAACTTAGAAGTTGATATTCACATAGGGAAAATTGAGTGGTTGTGACAGTGTTTCAATTTTTCGAACTCTGTGGAAACGGTGTGAAAGCCTTATTAAAACAGAAGTAAACCATTGTTGAATGTGTAAAGATTGATTTCCTTAAAATAACCCTAACCAAGTCTTCAGATGTTTAAAAGTTCAGAACATCAGCATACTATAATACTCTGAAATTGGTTGTATTCAAAATGCAAATACTTTAAAGGGTCATAAGAGTAGTTGATGATTATATTTGTGCATAGAACATTAGGTTCGTGGATTCCATAACACAGCCATAGGTGGTTCGGGAAACTGCAGGCGAGTGTAGAGCTTGAAATAAAATATCAAGTCAGGTGAGATTTTCTTTTTTACTAATAACCAATAATTACTAAATACATTTACATTAAAATGCACGAATATATTATGAAATATGCTCTCATATTGCAAACACATGGCTATGCTTCATTATTCTGATCTATTCAAAATAAGAAGGGGTTTCAAAACCAATTTAGGAGAGCACTTTTCAAGCAGGGGGGGGGGGGGGGGGTAAATTTCATACAACTGTCCTAATAAGTAATAGTGTTGCTGTCAGCCCTGTATAACCCTCTTCAACAATTGCAGTAAGTCATTTCAGGTGCATCTATGACCACCTATCTTCTTAAGGTTTCTACCCCCTTTGAGTTCTCGGGTAGGTAGATCGCTGCTACTTAAGACCATTAGGCAAAGGAAGCGATACTCACGCAATTCTTACTAGAAACTCCCAACCACATAATGGAAGCCTCTTCAGTTGTCATCATGGTCTCCCTGATAGACAGCTTAAATCCACCCAACCGTGATATCCGATTTCATCATGACACACAATACGCGTTTCAACATCTTACTCTTGATTGAGAGAATGTATTTCAGAACTCAAGCTTTAAATAACTTATATGTTATTTCCCTTAGTTACTCAGTTTTGATAATCAATTCAAAAATCTAGTCTTGAACCCAAGACCTAAGATTTTAGTTAATGGCATTTATAGATACCCGGCCAATAGATTTTCCACATCTTCCTTTAGATCAAACCCGGAACACCATCAGACAGAATCAATTCTATGGCAATCACATACGAAAAATCAATAGACGCCTTGCGACGTAATTTTGATGCTATGCTAGGAAACTGGACTATGCATTAAATTGATGTAATCCTGCTTTCGCGTGGAATACAGGACTGCCCATAGGCCCAGTTCCACCTATGCACAAGCGACAGCATGTGCACGACGCACAGAAACTCGCTTTGCGCTTTTCAGTTACTCTCGTCCTTTCCGCTCGAAGCTAATTGGTTCGTGCGTGCGAAGTGCCACCACCACCAGTTTACGCGCACTTGTTGTGATGAGGGCAACCTTTCCGTCGCTTCGCTTCTGCTAGTCACCTGATGATATGCTCTGTAATAACCCCCCCCCCCCCCCCAACCCTTACAACTACATTGCAGCCGCTAAATTGTAACTTTAGTGTAGAACTAATACCAGCAGCATTCCATTCATTGGCTCAGGGCTCTAATCATGTGCGAAGAGGAGTTCTGTCGTTAAAGCCCTGCCAGTGACATAGGGGCAATGGTTCTTGCGCATATCTAAAATTTCCACAGCCCAAAGTCCCCTGCATCACTTCCGCGTACACGCATACTAGCGAGGCCGCAAGGCAATCACGACTTAAGTCCCTTCCATTCATACCATTACAACCTAACCAGCAATCACTTGAACAACTAAAAGCTTATTACGAAGCTACTCACGAACGACTATAGCAGGGAAAAGGTATCCATGAGCACCTTTATGATAAGCTCGCATAATACCACACACCTTGCAAACAAAGCTAATTCGAGCAGCGTACTAGCTACCGACGGAAGACGATTCTGTGACCCCTAAGCTCCTTAAATGCACACAATAAGGATGTCAAACAGACAGCGTAAAAAGCGCAAGCACCATAATAGTACGACTGAATCCGGTCTTTCATTTCGTTAAAAGGAAGAATACAAATAGTTTAAGTCAATGGATGAGAACGAGGTCTTAAGCAGCTTAAGGGTGGACGAATGCGTTGAAAGAAAGATCATGATATGGGTGTCTTCTAAATGGAAAAGATGGGAAGAAAGAGGACGATGGGAGGGCAGGATACATCGAGAATTACTATGTACAAACACGGACAAAAGGAGAAAAGGACCAACTTTGAGCTACGTTCCGGGGATTTACTTCACCTGCGTCAGGAAAGATGCTGCACAGTTTTCTGATAAGGAAACAAAATAGTCTCACACTATGTACAGGATCGAGCAACAAGCAGCTGCCAATTTAAACCACATGCGTCTAGATAGAGGGCTAAAAATGAGGCGGGAGGGCTTATAATGCATTAAAATGAATGTGGGGTTTTGTTCATAGTTCAATAGAGCCTAGTTCTGTTTTGAGTTGATTAGCCAATGCTTCACTGGATTCCCCCTCATCATCTGAAAAAGTTGGTACACCCGAAATGAAGTCATTTAGTCCGCTAACATCAAGTTGAGGCAAAGGATCCCAACATGGTTCTGGAACTTGATCAAACTCTCCCGGATTTCCTGCTATGTTCAAAAATGGAAAATTTCCCCCATCGGACAAATTAATAGGATCATTTCCAACGGGAGGAATAGTAGGGTCTGGAAGATGCAGATCAAGAGGAAGCTCAGGGATGGCAGATTGTTTCGACTGGGTTGGTGAAATGAAAGCGACTTGGAGATCAGGGGGACATGGTATATCTGCACTACTCGGCAAGGAAAGAGAAAGGGATGCATCGTTCCGTGGTTCCGGGATCGGTGGTGGAGGTGGAAAACTAGCCTCTACAACCTTTTTAGCCATATTGATCGCTTCGGCATAATTTTTTACTCGAGTTCGTGGGCTATAGAGTTTACTGAAGTACTCTGTAAAGGGAAAGAGTTTTGCACAACTGAGATAAGAACACTGATCCCAAGCAAACCACTCCACTTTAGCAGTAAATCCGGCCGCCAGAGACGGATCAGAAGGTGTAGCAGTCACAGCAAGTGAATCACTACTCGTTGCACATTCTGGATTAACTTGGGCCAGTTGATGGGGTGTTCGAGCGTACAGTGCACTGATTCGTGAAGGCCAATGCGGGTAACCGGCAATCTTAGCCCACACTACATCTCCGATACGAAATCCACCTGGGATTTGGTTAGTCGACATTGGAGAAGCAGAAATTGTTTTAGCGGCCAATCCACCTGGAGCATCAGCATCACACCATGACTCAACAATCCGAAAAACTGATTTTTTATTTGATTTTCTGGCTCTGCCTCTCTTTCCACAAACTGGTTCTTCCACTGACAAATCCCTACGAAGACGAATTTTTAGTCCACCTGTGAAGGGAGACGAGGTGGTGGTAGAAGATTGAGAGAGAACTGGGCTAATGTCCAACGGCACTGGAGCCTGATGCCATTGGCGTTTCCGACTACTGATTTGGTTACTATTATCAACAGCCTTAGCCTTTGGTGGTCGGCCTCTTTTACGTTTGGTCTTCCATTGTGAAGAATCTTTAGGATTAACCGATTGGACTAACTCGTGGGGCTGATATGTGCCAGGACTTTCATAATGAGAGCCAGAGGGACCACTTTGACAAAACCTATTTTGTGGAGAGGGATGGTTGCTGGGACTACTGCTTGTGGTAGTAAGAGAAGAGGGCAAGGCAAACGTTCCGGGTGCGCTGCTCGAGTTAGACGGAGAAATTCCGGTATAGTTGCCTCGAAGTGGTGTCAAATCCGAAATATGATGGGATGCATACGCATTTTCAGAAGGAAGTCTTGCTTCATTACTAGCCGAAGAACTAGAACATAAACCTGAATCCTCATTATTCAGCTCTACAGAACCATTCAAGACGCTCATTGATTGATCTTTTGCCATCCAGCGTTGTTTAGGTTTTTGATAGCCAGTTATTCGCGACGTACTTGTTAGAGATAAATCCTTTTGATCTTTTAGAGTCGATGACAGCAGTGAATTATTGGAAAAATACAACTTCATCAGAGCGCTACAAAATCACTAAAAAACCGTGACTTATTGCGACGATGGATTAAATTAAATAAACCGCTCTGACCATACCTGATTGCATTATTTTGTTTGGCATACACAATCAACACTTAAGAGTGAAGAACACCAAATCGTCGACCAAGCCAAGCCCGAAATATGCACTATAATCCCCACAAGCCAATCCTTTTACACATATGAAACAAGGAAAGTTAAAACAAAATTCATTGATTGAAAAGAATAATGAAAATTTTGCACAATAAAGTTAATTGAACGAAAGGTCAATAATACTTTTGAATGTTTTCTTTTCAGTTTTTATAGTTGGCATTGAATAATTATCAGTTTCAATAAGGCATCGAAATACAAACAATGGGATAAAAATATTCATTGCATTAGTTTTCTGCAAATATTATCATTGAAAATTGATCATTAACCACGAATAAACTTTATTTGCTCTTTATTTTATCTACGTCTTCAAGTGTAGTTTAATATCCTTAATTTCTTTTACATATTTTTCAGTCTAAGTAAATAACCTTATACCGCAATGGATTTCATGGTCGAATACTAATCATAGCAAGTATTTTTGCTGTGAATAGGGCAGTATTAAAATCTAGATTTGATTAAATGTATTATAGTTGTCTTTTCAATCCAGACGTCTCAAATTTAAAGGAATTAATGTTTTATCGAAGATAAATATGAACCATGTTTACTATAATGACCAGCGCACAAACATTATATGGCTAAAATAAGTAGTTCTCTGCTCGCCCGTGCATTCTGGAATGTGCAACGAGCTACTAAATGCGTTAGGGCGGAAATGAGGTCACGAGTGGAGAGACCTTTGAAACAATCGACCACTAATATTCATTGAATTATTAAGTCACCCAAAATCGTATTTGATGACTAAATTCAATGCCAGTATCGTCTTTATCATCGCAAACCAAATAAATTTTTGAGGTATCTTAGATAATATCGGGATTTGTTTCATATTAGGTAATTTCGTCATGAGAATTGCTGAATTTTCGTCAAGATTTACTCATGTGGCATTACGTTTCAACAAATGAAAATGGAAAGTTAGCAATATTTATAAGTTACTCATCTCAAATATGTTTTGAAGGTAGATCCAAAGCATGGATCTCAAATTTTTCTGTTACAAATAACTAATTTATGATTTGGAACCGAAATATGAGTCTTATAATTTTAGTCGGATATTGACTCCCATAAAAATGAAGAGAATACAGTCGTCATCTAGATTTGCATAATTAACTGATCTCCGTGTTCCTTATTCTTTTTCTATTAAAATTTAATTGGTATTTAATATCACATCTAAACTATTGGCTCAATAATATACCACGTTAATTATGCTCACTAGTTAAAATAGAGCATGGCTTAAAATTTCGAATTATTGATATCTTTACAATGAATTCGAAAAACTTTAACTAAAAAAATGCTTTCTATGCACTCCATCTTTTATGGTTGATATAATAAATACGTATACTTGGTATGACAATAAAAGCACTTAATACAATCCAACGGTTATGATCTGTTTGTTTTGTTTTATGTAATCTAAACAAACTCATTGAATTCCTAAGACATCACATTGGTTACATTCACACCCCAACAACACCACGATATGAAAAGGCCATATCAAAAATTCTTACCTTTGCAGCTTTTGCACCATTTACAACCATAATATAAATAAATTCGTTCAAATAAATGTTAAGTCAATAGTAGTAGATATTGATTCTAACATATTATTTTTACGGCAAATATTTTTTGCATTAATATAGCTTAAATACTTTAACTAGATGGCTAAAACTAGTGTATTTATAAAGTATGGATGTACACCCTTTATAATTTTGTAGATCGTGCTGGAACTAGTTACTGATAAATTAATAAGTTTTATGGAGAGATTTGCCCACCTACAATGGGGAACTTAACTAGATTTGTAATCAATGAGAAAATAAATAAGCCAAGAATAACTTAATTTTGAGTTTTAAGGTACAAAGTACAACTGCGCTAGTTGCATTCAAATGTGGTCTCAGTACCCAAATATCAAGATGTCTATCCTAATCGTGAATATTGCCAGCTGACTCTACTGTCTACTGCTTAAAAATACTTAACAGCATTTTGAAAATTTAGTTTTACCCGGATAAAAACTATTTCACCAAACATTTAGTGGTCGAATTTGTTTACAATAATTTTGAGCTTTGTATCCATCTCGAATAATTTTTGAAACCTTGAGAAGCTTCTGTAGTAAAGACTGGGGTTTCAGAATCCCAATGCAGAATTTACATGCTTTCAGGTGTATCTCTTGTGAATCTGTTGTGGGTTGGAAGATTAAAATGATTTCATAAATGGATATTTTTACTAATAATGCTTATAGATATGGCGACGACGGGAGACGTGGCGTAGTGAAAATCTCTTTCCCTGTCTCCATTCCTTGTGGCATTGTAAATTGCCTTGCAATGTTTACAACGAGTTGTTCATTCTAGCTATTGCGAAAAGAGTCAAACGCTTATCACGAAGATCATTTATATATATTTATTTCAAATGGCAGGCGTTTTGATAGGTATCATAAAAACCCTTTAGTTGACTTCAGGCTTCACAGAAAGGAAGATAAACAGTAAAGTGGCAAAACGTCGAGAGGGGGACAGAATAATGATTCACAGACGTAAAAGAGACAGACAGACACAAAGGTAGAAAAAGGTGAGGTGAGTACTGTAAAATTATTCGAATATGAAATGCAGTGGGGTCTTGGTAGTTTGAAGTCAGAAGTCAACTGCCGAATAATAGACTTTTTTGCCGTATGAGTATACGTTGCCCAGGGTGCACCACGTGGAGGTAAGTCTATCGCACACCCCTCACGAAGATCATAAGTAGTCCAATTTTTTTCAGTAATTTTTAATGTCCCATATTAGTATAATGCTTAAAAAAGAAGTTATAAAAATATTTAAAATTAATTTTTTTGAAAATCTAGTTGAGAAAAATCTATGCTCAACCGTCACATAATTCTGCCTTGTAAATATCGTCTCACTACTCATAATCAGTGCATTTAAAAATTTACAATTTTTACTTTCAATAAGATTCAAAATAAAAATAATATTTTAATTGAATCAAATATAGAAAATTCTATTAACTTCACTCATAATCAATGCAGACGCCAGAATAAAGATTTTATATCTTGTTTTATTTGCTCACTTACGAAACATAAAAATGCACTTGTACTTGATCAGCGAGGTAAAAGAATAGAAGAACGTCGACCATAACTTTGTATTTATTTATGTAATTATATTCGAGTATAGGAAGCGATTCTTTGTACACTGATAACGAATTATATATCAATTAGATAAGCGTTCCTAGGTTATACATAAGATAAATGCGTTTATTTCGATATCTTGTAAACGTATTAAATGCAAACATAGCCAATTAATCTATGAAGAATGACATTTTATCTGTTGATGTCAAGGTAATTTCTCATGCGGAGGGTTCACATATGCAATACATCAATTAATGACATAGCAATATCACAGAAATCATTACCATTAAGCAATATGTTTGGAACCTGAATCTAACAACTACTAGGATTATTACACTTTAGATAGGTAAAAGTCAATGAAAATAAGGTGCATCCCTTCATAAATCGAGAATTATCAATTTTTTAAAGTAAATTCACATCTTGCCATCGGAATTATGTTAAATTGGTGGTAGGACCATACTTATATGCATCAATTACCCAAAATTGCACTAAATTGTTGATAAATAAATAAGTAATAGTGCAAATTCGCTTCCTCCATTTCTTATTTATTGCTGTCCGAGATTTCGCGTCTATCAAACCATAATGTTAAATTTAAATGCGTGTAAACAAATGAACTAGTAAGTCTACAGCATCAAATATCTATATAAATCTAAATCAAATGTATGTATGCTCCTTTTCCAAATTCTAATACATTGCTAACTATTTAAATTTAATTGCGTATTAATAAAATATCAGTGAAAATATGTAAATATTATGCTTATTTGCCGTTGATGCAAATTGAATTAGTTGTCTTTAACCAGTGTACTTAATATTTTGTTATATGCAATATAGCACATGGTGGTTGATTTGAGGTACCGGTAGTGGCTTTTTGTCGATATGGCGGAGTTGGTTTTGGATTCAGCCATTAGGTTCTGGGTATTCATACCCATTGTCCTTATAACATTTTTCTTTGGGGTTATTCGACATTACTTGACTCTGTTGATAGTAACTGATAAGAAGGCTGATTTGCAATCGATGTCAGATAGGTTTGCATTTTCGTCTTCATTTATCTTTTAGTCATGTTCTTATTCGATGTCGGCTAATACGAGAAAATGGAAATTATATTACTCTCAATGTAGGTTATGATATTTCTTAGTTAGTTTCAGGGTTTTAAAATGCGCAAACATTTCTTTAATGACAGTGATACCGGATTTCTCAGAACCCAAAAGCGAGAGCACATTGCTAAGAATCCGATGACTGGTAACGTGCATTCACTTTTATTTTCTTTCAGATCCAAATATGCTTAGAGAGATGATGAAGGGCAACATAATTCAAGTTATTCCCATGCTTGTTATTGGTGGTTGGATTAACTGGGCATTTTCGGGTTTCCTTACAACGAAGGTACCCTTCCCTCTCACGTATAGATACAAGCCTATGTTACAGCGTGGTTGTGAGACCCTGGTTTCTCTTGATGCCTCATGGTAACTAGTGCAATTTTTTTTTACCCGATCTCCAGGGTGAGCTCTGCTTCATGGTACTTCTTAAATATCTTTGGGCTGAGAAGCCTCTATGAATTGGTTTTGGGATCAGATACAGCTGCAAGTCAGACCCCAATGATGCCTGATCCTACAATGGCTTCTCAACAGCAGGCACCGGATATGCAGAAGGCTTTCAAGGCCGAATGGGAGGCATTGGAAGTTGTGCACCACAAGTGGGCTCTTAGTGGCTGTGAAGGTCAATTGATTTAGCTCAGTTATTGTATGCGCTTTCTCTCTCTTACCGTACATGTCTGTGCAATATATTACTCATTCTGAACTGTGGCATTTCTTTTTGCTTTAATAGGCCATGAAGCCATAGTTTTTACGGATTGTTTTTATTTTTCAGAGGAACTTTTCCTTGGTGTTGAAAAGTGGTAAATCTATTTTACAAACGTATTTCATCTTAATGTATTGGCCTGTCTCTTAATGCGAGATTTCCATTCGCCTTTAGTTCGCTGTTTGGTGTGGTTTCTTTAAGATACCTAGTGGTGGTAATTACTGTTTTTTTGGCGGATTAATTTAGCTTAATGCACGAAAGTAAAGAGAAAAGGCCATTCGTTGGGGTAGAAGTGTGTCATCAACCATCCACTTCTGGTTGCTTCATTTATAGTAGTAATTTATGCAATTCGGTATCATTTCGCAAGGCAACGTTCCTAGTCTGACAAGATGGTGTTGAATAGAGACCAAACGTGATTGTATTTTAGATTCCTTACATTTTACCCTATCTGCTGGAAATGTGCCACTATGCAGAAATAGAAATACAAAATAATGATTTTTCCATGCATTTATTCATTTCACAAAGGCATGACTTCAACCTTAAGGTCGCTAAAATTAAGCATCAAAAAGACCATATGACCTTGGAATTTGCAATATTTCTCTAAGGCAGGCTTCATCTTCAGGTGAAGTGTTGGTCGCATCCAAGTTCTACAATAAAATAGATGAAATCACAAAGTACCTCTTTTATTAAAAGCAATCAAGATGCCGGAGTTACTATTTACAAGCCTTCAACAAATTTTCTTAGCCGTTTATGTATAGAAAGCACTTTTGCAGCATCAAATCAATGCTTACCTCTAATATTAACTCGCATACTTCCAAACCACCCGAATTGACAAAGTTTTCACACACTTGATATCTTTTACTAATAAATTCCTTCAAAGTTCCAAGAACGTCAAAATCACCGATGTTTATTTCATAAAATTGACGAAGATAGGGAAAGTTGTTGACGCCATGTACTGCCAACCATTCTTCCATCTCATATCTACTAATGTAAGTTTCAGCTGCACACTGGATCAAACTCTGAACGTACGAGATTTCCGAACAGATTTCTTCCCATTCGCTCGGAGACAACTGCCAAGCAAAAAGAATGGCGAGCAAACGTGTAAAGCATCAATTCAAGTTGAAGGGATAAGTTGACAAAACATTAATGGCAAATTTTGCGATCAAGGCATATTGGATATGCAACTATTTTTACTCTAAGTTAAATTTATAAACGTTGGACAAGTAATTTTTCTTGTACCACATCATCTTACTACACGCTTTTCTGATAAAGCAAAATGTGCGAATTTTGTGGAATAGTTAAATCGTAGTGGTTAATACAAAACTGTGGAAATTTTATGTAAAATGACTTTCTTGTTTCATTATACCTCTTTATGACACTTGCTCTCAAACTGATAAAACAGTTCACTCACTCGATCAAAGACTACACTCAGAAGTAATAAAGCGCATGTTTTCACAGTCGAACTCCTGACATATTGGAGGCTTTTAAAAATGCCTCTACAAATTCTGATATTATCGAGTACCTTAAGCAAAAAAAACATTACAAATCAATTTGTATTATATAAATGGTATAGCTGGGAATTGGAACTTACGACTCGGCCGAGGCAATAGAACATTCTTAAACTTTTGAGACAATAGGTTACGTAGAGATAATTAATGTCAATATCATCACCATCCTCATCCACACTGCCAAAACCATTGATACCACCTCCAGTCACTTCTTCATCAAAATCATTGTCAGCATCGGTACTCCGAATGACACTATCGGCACTAACCAAAGCTTCAAGTTGACTATCTAGCTTTTCATCACAATCGTTGGATTCACTGGAATCACTACTGTTACGGCTAATGCTACTGCTGCAAATATAAGAATTACATCCCAACTCCTCTTCAATTATTAATTGTGTGTAATTGAGCATTCTCTGCAGAAGTCCAGAGGGAATATCTTCACAATCGGTCTCTACTAGCCTTGCGCATATCGCAAGAACCACTGCCTTATGCAATTCATAGCGTTCTTCAAAGTCCTTTTCCAAAATGTCCATTATTTTCTAAAATAAGCAAATAATTAGGGCTATCTCTCTCTCTCACACACACGCACACGCACACACACCCACGCACACACACACGTACGCACACACACACACACCCACACACAAAATCGATAGAAAAAATTTTCCCAGTCAATCTTGTAAAGCTTCCACTTACTTCAAATAGACTAGGCGGGAGGTAATGCCCATGTTCTATTGCAGTAGCAAGTTGCACTAAGGTACCATTGAAGAGTATATCTCGAGTTTTCAGGAACGTTTCCAATCTTTTCATCACCTCTGTCTCGCTCAATCCGCCGATTATCTGGAAGAAGAGATCTTTATTTAACCTGGGCATAAAATTTTACGAATGTGCGTTGTTTTTGTTCTTGTGCTTAGTGTTTGGGCTTAAATTCGCGCATTTACCAAGCGGTAATGTCAAAAAGACCGTGTTTGCTTCTCACCTCAATGTGCGAATATTTGGTTGCAAGTCTCCCTACTGCATATTCATCAGGCAACAATTCTTTCGAAAATTCGGCAACCCCAAGGTATTTCAAATTCTTCTTATTCCTGATTAGTATACTTGAAGACAAAGAGAAATTGTTACAACATACAAGTGCAATTTGGACGCCTCAAACAGACAAAAGTAGAATTTGATTGTTTAATAATATAATAATACATAATAATATATATAATTAATGCTATAGTTCATTGGAGTGGTAAACTCACTGAAGATCTCTGAGAGTACATTGAAATGGATTGCCACTCATTTCCAAATGCACCAGATGTGGAAGCTGTTCGGGTTCAAGTAGTGCGTCCACTGCTTCAACCCGTGATGGTGAGCTGTATGAGAGATTTGATACATCAAGCTGACGGAGTTCCTTTAATTCTAAAATTGTTAAAAGCATCTGATTGAAGCAGTCGTCTTGTCCTACGTCAAGCTGATGCATTATGAGCACATTGAGGTGATTTCTCAACACCGTCAAGCAGCTTATATCATCGACCATGGTTTCCGTTATATCAAGGTGCTTCAATCGAAGATTTTTCACCAAAATGCTTAAACCTTCACTGTCCAATGGCATACAACGGATATCCAGGTACTGCAAATTTTGAAGTTGTCCCAAAGCTCTCATGTCCGACAATTTTGTCACCATCTTCATAGGCAGCCTATACAGTTTGAGTGTGTGAAGGCTCTTAATTGTGCCATCACTCAAACTGCCTGCTAAATCGTCCAGATCTATACCCGTTACATCAGCAACATTAATACTATAAAGAGTAGAGCCTCGAAAAAAAGATAACGACGATGGGGAAACGTGGATATCACGCAGTGTGACTGAACTCAAATTAGCATACCGCGTTGAAAATAAGGATAAGTATTTCCATTTCAATAGTCTCCTTTCGCCTAGTTCCTTGAAAATCATATCTGCAATCGGCGATATGATGGAACTTTCGGGGCGAGGAACTCGCCAGCGGTACTTTTCCTCGTCACAACGTGGGCACTTTGTGATAAATAAATCAAAGTTTTTGGCAATAACATCTAGACACAAATTCTTTAGAGAAGGCACTTCAACGCGATTTATTTCTAACACAAGAAAGTGAGTTTAGAGTTGGTGCAAATTTCCTACCTAAAGCAGAAGAATGAATTAAGATATATAGGGCATAAAATTTAATATTTTAACGAAGAATAGGCACGAATCTACCTGCCATTTTAATATTTAACCAAGGGTTTTTTTTCCTAATCTCTGTGACAGAGGATGTGCAATTTAGAATTTATGATTAAAAGTAACAAATGCTGTGATTTCATATCCACCATTCAAATGAGACTGAACAACTTTGGATGATGTGTCTTCAATTCTTGGCAATTTATCAGTTTTACGTGCGTCGATCTTTACTCTCTGTTTGCTGATATTCATTCAATTTCATTTTCGTTTTTGATTTGAGATTAGATTGGACTTTACATTTCCAATTAACCCCCTTTAATGAATAAAATCTGTAGTTCCAGGGCTCGAGTCCTTTTCAGGGATTGTTTGCTTGGAGGTCATATAGCATTCTCCTCAGTCCCTTAGTACGCAAGAGGTTCCTGAGCTCGTTTGCCAAACCAGTTCTCACGGGTCAGGTGCTCATTCGATCGGCAGTATGGAAAGTAAATTGATTTAGTCTGGCTAATAAAAGGGTTGGCAGAATTCGATTTCTTACAAGAAAGAAATGTTAATAACGGTAATTATGATTAACATCCGTCAAATAAGATCTCTCTTGACTAAACTTGAATTGGTTCTATTAATTCCCAAACACCATTGTTCATCTAAACCTCCTTATTGTACAGAGTATAGTCTAAAGTGGCCTTCGATGGGTCACAACATATAGTGATGCAAGGGCATAAGGCGCGTGGAAGATGTAAATAGGAACCATGAAGTATAAAGAATAGAACTGACAAAAGTAAAACGGCAGACTTCATATCTGAAGCAATGGCTATGAAGGTGACTATATGTCCCATTCTAACCACTGTCTGCACGGAATGAGCTTCGGCTTGATCTATCAAGACTGGAAGCCCGCATTCAGTTAGCTTGGGGCCTCTACTGTTGTCTACTTTAAGTATTGCGAATCACTGAAGTTTCCTTCTATTGAACTAATAATTTATACTTTCTACTTAATATCTGTTAGTAGCTGTTGCATTATATCAAATGGAAGGAATCCGAAATGTTTTGACTAGTAATAAGTTGATGCGTTAGCTGATGGAAAAGGTCAATTTACAAACTTCCGACTTCACTTTTCTCTTTGCTCAGAATATAATATGGTCGAACGCTTAAACGCTGAAATACTAGTTCAAAATGCAGAGAAAATTCAGTTAAGAACCCAGAAACCAGTCATCTTCGATTATCTAATTTGAATCATCTACCACCATTACAAACCTTTCCATTTACCTCTAATTTTTTATACATTTATTTTTTAATCGATTGTTTTATCCTTTGATTTGTCATAGGTTTTAACGGGAAATTTTTTAAAAATTAACAGGCGTTGGGGTTGAGTTGTAAAATGAAGAAAAGCAGATTTTTTAGAAGTCCAAACAAAGAATTGATACTGAAAACGAAGATTGAGTAGCTATACTTCTACTTAAAAGCATAGAAACAAAGTCGAATTGAAGGAGCATATCCACTCACGTTATAGTTTAGTAGACCATACATAGATACAAATATCTTGTTCCATAAAATGCGATTGTGATTTTTGAGTATAAAGAGAGGACACATTTTAAAATTCGCCACCAACAAATAGCGTCGTGTTTTGTGGTGGTTTCAAAACTCATTTGAAAGACAGGAGGTTAATTAGAAAAGGAATTCTTTGTTAGAATTTTGACAATTTTTTGATTGATATATTATTATTAAATTGGGGTGTGTGATAGACTTACCTCCACGTGGGACACCCTGGGCAACGTATACTCATACGGCAAAAAAGTCTATTACCTGGCAGTTGACTTCAAACTACCATGACCCCACTGTATGTCATGTTCGACTACTTTCACAGTACTCATCCCACCTTTTTTCCACCTTATCTACCTTCGTCTTTGATACACTCTTCTGTCCCCCCCCCCCTCTTGAATTTTTTACACTTTGATGTTCCTTCTCCTCTGTGAAGACTGAAGTCAACTAAAGGCTAATGATAACAATCAAAACGCCTGCCATTTGATATAATAATAATCATTATTATTATTAAATTTGAATTCAAATCGAATTGAGTTGAAAAGTTTCTGTGTGAACTTGTAAATTGTAATAGCCTATTCAATGTCCTTTTTAAGCAACTAAGTCCTTAAATACGCATTCACGTTAGTAACAATGCTTAGGGTAAATTTGTCCTCCAATGAAGGAGCATTACACATCTGTCTTCAATTCTTGCAAACTGATTCACATCGCCAGGAAACACCATACACACCCAGAGAGAGAGAGAGAGAGAGGGGGCGAGAGAGCCACTCCGATTCACACCTAGTTAGTCCCAGTTGTGTTAACGACCAAGAGAGTTGCGGAATAAACGGTTCTCTTCTCTCACCATTTCCTGGCCTAGTGTTGCGATGGCAAACACGGAGTTGGTGGGGTGAGTTATTCCAACACTTTGTGAGTGAGTGTCTTGTCCCAGTGGCCTCATTTGGAGATATTGTGAACGCACAAGCGGAAGAAAAAACTCACAATTTCAAAGTCCCTCCCTCCCCCCCTCTCTCTCTCTTGCTGAATGCTCGCCGACTGTGATGTTAGTGCTGGCGGCGGTGGTGGTGGTGGTGGTGGTGGTGGGCTTTGAATTGAATCCACTGAGTTTCGGGTGGAATGCAAAAGCCACTCCCTACCCCTAACCAAAAGCACACAAGGAACGCGGCTCTGCTAGACTTCGAAACGTGATTTCTTTAACAAGTGGAAGTCATTGTTCGTGTTTATTTGATATGAGCAAAAGTTAAACATATTTCACCATTGAACACAGTGACTTAAAAGGCCAAACATAGCTGTCTAGTTTTGTAAAGGGCTTTAAAAGGAATTATTTCAGTGCAATACTTCCATTGCTTTTTTATGATTTGTCTCAATACGGAAAGTAGATAAAGTGGGGTGGGGGGGGGGGGGGGGGGGGGGGGGGGGNNNNGGGGGTGGGGGGGGTGGGGGGTGGAGAGGCTTAAAATTAGTTTAAGTGGCTTTTTTAAAGTTTTATTTCTCATTTAGTTTGGAACCTTAAAAGAAAAATTTGTGCACATTAATCGTCTTATTTAAACTTTCTTCGGTGAAAATATAAAGGTCATCTTCACGCGTTTTAATAATTCGGTGATGTTCAAGATCGATACATCGCTCGTGTTTAGCTTTTAATAAACTCGTATTTTCAAATTCTTCTGAAATATTTATTAAAGTGGGAGAGTTAATTTTTTTCCAAATGAGTAAGTGTATATATTTATATATTTATTTATATCAAATGGCAGGCGATTTGATATTTATAATTAGCCCTTTAGTCGACTTCAGGCTTCACAGAGGGGAACGAACATCAAAGTGAAAAAAGTCGAGAGGGGGGGTGACAGAAGAGTGTTTCATGGATGTAAAAGAGACAGACAGATATAAAGGCAGAGAAAAGGTAAGATGAGTACTGTGAAAGTGGTCGAATATGACACACAGTCGGGTCATGGTAGTTTGCAGTCAGAAGTCAACTGTCGGTTAATAGACTTGTTTACCGTATGAGTATGCGTTGCCCAGGGTGCAAGTCTACCGCACACCCCAATCGGGTAGAGTAAGTAGATAAATAAGTGAACTTAATACTTTTCACTTATCAGCCGTCTGGACAACGCGATTATTATTAATGTGGAGCGGTACTTGTTGACCCCTTAAGTATTCACAATTAGGGCTTGTCTATTGGTTCACTTTATTTAAAACAGACTCCTTAGAACACCAAAGCAATAATTCATGCGTTTACATTCTTTAAAACTTATCATAGACCAATAATGTGTGCATTTATTTTCACTTCAAGCCAAATTTTCGTCTACTCAGTTGTTCATCCGTTTACATACGAAAGCGATAGTGTTGAAGAAAATGACCAATTTCCTTTTGTGTGAGAACGATTTGAATATGTCCTTAAATCGGCCTAGTTTGACTTCCATGTCAGCTATAGCTGATACACTGCAACAAGTGGCGATCAAGACCACGCTCACTCCCCCTGATGCCTTCGGGGGTTTTAAAACATGTTGGCAAGGCGAATAGTAATAAAACTGGGAAAATATCAATCTGAACAATTGATGACAGCTTAACTACTCAACGTAATTTATTCGCGAAACAAATCGATAAAACTCACTAACATGCCACTCAGCGGAGGCAGCCACTTTTTGTCCATAGGATGAATAATCTCTCTAAATAGAGAATGTAAAGTTGAGAGAAGTTAAGAGGGAGGGGGGGGGGTTAGACAATACACAAATGATAGCCATTATAGGAATGAACGGGGGGTTAGTCATGGCGCAGCGGCATAATTGACAGCCTGTCATCATGGTCGATTGAATCAGCCAAGGGGAAAACCACTAAGGCGAGGGAAGAGACCAAAAATTCCTACTTTTTTAAGTATCGGGTTGGGGTAATTGTGTCATTTACCGTACCTAAGGCGGTACGCCGTTTGACCGATTTTTAAAAAAACGACGATAATTAACCAAAAATACGCAATGATAATGGGTAGGATAATGGAAAGCACTCCTTGCGTTTGATAAGTGAAAATGTACTTTTAGATTTAAAGCATTTTTTCATCAAATATGTAAAACACTAAGACCACTTGTACGCATAAAAAGTAGGCCTTGTCACCGTCATTATCGGACAACAGGTCCTCTTTTCTAAAATAAAACAAAAAGCCAAAAATTAGGGCGGTAATATTAAACTCCCTTGGGAAGTCCTTTGTTGGAATAGTAAATTGTAAAAAAGAGAAATTTAGGGTACTTGTGGTTTGGGGAGGGTAGAGAGGAGGGGGAGGGAGGGGGGTGGGGGGTGGGGGAAGGAGATGCTAGAATACCTATTTCTCCGTCATTGTCATTAATGGTCTTTCGCCGTGGATACAGATATCACAAGACATGTGCGGTGGAATGTAATGAGAAGGAAGAAAGGAGGGGGTGGGGGGTGGGGGGTGGGGGAAGGAGGGAGGGTGGAGGCAATTGTCATCTCAAAGAAACCGTCGCCTTCAAATGATAAGCGGGAGGAGGAAGAATATCTGCAAAAAAAATCATCCGCCTCAAATGTATAAAAAAGATCTCAAGTGCTTTGTGACAGTGATACAGATTATCAATTTTCCCTTGTGGTCGGGATACACCCAAGTAATTTCATCCTAATAGTTTGTTAAGAAAGAAAACTCAATTTGAAGCATGAATCTATAATTATGAGACCCAAAAGTAGCTTTACTATTTCGTCTGCCTATTTGTTGCAGGTTATCATTTAATAGATCAGATAAGCTATTACTTGATTGGCACATGTCATAGTCAGGTAAATTTTGTACCCACAAACATAACTCGAATTACCGTTACATTAGTTGATTGGTTACGTTTAAAAGTTATTATCCAAGGTCATCGTTTATAATGATGGAATTGACTAATTAAATTCTCAAATTCTAGGCTAGAGTAGTGTAGACGTTACCGATTAGTAACTGATGCTTATCAAGATTGGAACTCTTGTCTTCGATTATTATAAAATAAGTAAGGACAATATCTACAAATAATTGACATTTGACTTCAAAATTGTGACATGAGATCAAATCAGAAGGGAAACCAGATTCAAAAGAGGTAATAGGCACTAAGGAGAATGGGTGGAGTGGACTAGTAGGTAGGATAAATACTAGGAAACGAAATTCTGATTTGCATTTAACACTTAGATAAATGATACTAAAAATGATATGACATTAGGTTCAAGTCAAAATAGGGAAATAAAATTGTAATCTAAATACCAGAGGTAAAGGAACTAGTTAAAAGTGGCTCAAGCATTGATAAAGACTTCTGTCAAGCCAACCTGAACTAAGTCATTGCTCATTGGTTCACATCTAGTTCCACCGATTGATTTTGTGATCGAAGAGAGGT